TCAGGACCCTTTTGGACTCCTTTTACGGTCAAGCTCTTGGGGGAAAGTACCAAGTGTGGTATGAAGGAGGGGGAGATTTGCCTAATGTTTGGAGAATGTGTTTTTAAACAGGCTCAGAAGAGTTTCATTTACTTCATATAACTAGATAGGCTTATGATTGAGTTGATTTGGTACTCAATTGCTGGATAATTGTTATTTCCTGCAGTGGGAGGAGCTACTGATTATATAGGCAGGACATGCAGCTCCTCTTGAGTAGCATAGTGAGTCAGGCCATGATAGTAAGAAGACCACTGTAGCGATGGGCCAACCGAGGCCTTGTGAAACACTAAAACGTTTAGAGCAGATGCGTCGAATTTGTATCGAGCTTTTGAAACAATCTGACACCCGTCTCTACAGTGACACCTTCTGGCCATTTTTGCTATGTCACATGGTGATAATGCTAGTTTTTTAAGCAACGCAGATTTTCCGCAATTCTAACCAGTTCTTAAAAATAACCATAATTGAGACATTTTGGAGAAATCTCCATACAACAAAACAAGAAAAACTTTGACTGTAACAAACAGCATGTTATCAAATTCAATGCACAATTTATACAATCTACAGAGAAGAGGCTAATGAGCTTATTTTCATAACCACATACATGTTGTGGATATATACGTAACCACAGTGCCCCATTAATCTTTGTGTTTTATCTACAGTGGAATGACGTGTGAATGAATGTAGCTTGTTATGCTTATGAAAAATAAAGATGAATAAGAGAAAATCAAGTGCTACGTAAAGATTTTTATTCAAAAATATCAATTTATTTAGTTTAGTTTTAGCTTCTTCTTTTGCAAATTGGAAAAAATAGAAAATCATCACATACATGTCTACATGACACGCTTGTTTCATGTAGACATGTACACAACGGGATTTCTTTTTTAAATAAAGGTGCAGGTTTACAACTTGGCACTAGACTAATGGTTCATGTTACACATGAGCGATGTATCTTTTGACCGCTACGGTGGGATTATCTGTTGCCCTGCGGGTACTATGGGTTTCGCTAACTGAGCTGTCAATAGGGTCCCACAAACTGCCCTTTGCTGTGATTGCTGCTGCTAACAATAATAATAATAATGATGATGATGACTTTTAAGCTTTCTGAGAGTTTTCGGTGTCACTGGGTTTTTTCTACACACTGTCAATCAAGGTTAGAAACAACAGGCAAGCCGCTTGTCAAAACTGGGGTCAAAAGCTCCAAAAATAGCCACGTCATGTGATCAAGTGACGTGGGCATTTTGAACCACAAAGCAGGCTTTCAAAACATCTGTGTAAGCTCAACACAGCGTCAAAACATCAGCATCGGGCATCCCGTGTCTGGTTGCAGCTCCTCTTGGGGAGTGTAGCCTGTCAGGCCCATGATGGTGAGCAGGCCACAGTGGCTGTACTGCCAGGGGCCTAACTGAAAGGGAGTTAAGGCTGGTGCAGAATTGTTTCGTCAGTTGTTAAGTTTGGTTTTGGTTCATTATCATCCAGTTTTTAGCCCAGTCACTGTTACATTCTGCATTAATAATAAACTTAAATTTAAGCCCTTTCCTTAACCGGGTTCACTAGATTTTGCAGATCCTGCTGAGTGGTGTGTAGGTAGATGGCTCATCATCAATCATTCATACTGACATTTCCTTTGATCTAATGTCTCTCTGTGTGTTTATTTATACACACACTCTGTGTGACGGTGTGTATTTCTCTGTGTGAGCGTTGAGCCGAGCCTGCACGAGTGCAGTTTCATGCCTGTGCTAAGGTGGACGTGTGGTGTGTGCATTTGCGATGGTGTGTGTCCGAGCTGTGTGCGCAGGAGAGAGGGTTTAGACAGGTGCCGTGCTGCAGGTTTAATGACCTGAGGTGTGGCTGACTTCTCTTTGCCAATCTGAATCTCTTCCCTGTGCCCAACAGAGTGTGACACAGTCTGAGCGCATGGCTGGTGACAGGTGGGGGCAGGTGGGGGCCTCGTGACAAACTAAGGCAGAAGGAGAAAGTCTGTGTATTTCCTCGGGCTGCATCTCCACCTGAATGCTAAGTGTTTGAGAAGAGTTCTTATACTGACAGGCAGCAGCTGCCAACATGCACCTTGAAAGCTTGACTAAGCACGTGCTCACAAGCATCATACACGACACTCACACGCGTGCACTATAGCAACAGAAGACAGAGGCCATGGCTGTGTTTTCATAAAGGCTTAACTCAACCACACCATCATCCAAATCCCATCCCTACCCTTTCCCTTTCTCTGAATCTCCACTCCTTGTGGTAACTGAGACCGCAGGCATGCCTCTAATAGCTCCCCCAATGCACCAGCACAAATTGGTTTTCACTCACATGGCTTACCCCCTTCCTGCTCCTCTCCTTCCATTGCTCTCTGTTCCTTGCTTTATTTCTACTTTTCTTTATTTTGTCCTCATCTCCTCCACCCCTGCTCCTGCTCCCTCCCCCTGCTCCTGCTCCCGTCCAGCAGGGCCCACCTGTCAGCTTGTTTCTTTCAGTCAGTCAGTCTTTTCCCAACATAACTGCTGATGTAAGTGCCTGCAGCTCCCGCCCATATGACTGCATAGTGGGAGATGAGCCCTACGTTCAGCTAATGGCTACCAGTAGCTTCAAAACAATATCAAATTGCATTGACGTTGTAGTAATAAATGAAATATGCATCTTACTGTCATCCCGTCTGTTCTCAGAAGCCTTTCATGTCTGGCTGTCAGCCAGAGCGTTTCTCAGAGGGAGCTTTGTGTGTTTTAGCAAATTGCAAGTGGCTTTTTATGCTTTGAATGATGACGCGGGTGTCATTCAGAATACATAAGTGGACAGTGATTGATTCTCATTGAACTCAGGATGTGCATGTGTGTGTGTTCCATCGATTGGTGGTCAAGTCCACACATGACTCTAACCATCTAAATGATACACAACACTGAAAACCTGTTTTCTCCACATATACATTTTTTCTTTAATTTAAAAGAGCAACGTCTTATTTTCAAGAAGTACCTCCTTAGCCATATAAACTAGTAAAGGGGGGAGTACACAGGCTGTCAGAAGGGACAGGGTGAACATGTATTGCCTTAGAAGTTCTCAGTGTGATAATCGCAGGCGCCACTAAGCCTCCACAATTTGATTGGGGGGTGTGAGGGATGTGTAGAGGACATTTATCAGCATGACACAGGACACAATGCTCTTTGTTTGATTGGTCAAATTAGTGGAAGCTCATTTGCTTTCACTGCAAAATCCTTTACAGGGCTTTTCTGTTGTGTTAATTAAGCCGGAGCAAGAATTCTGTATGCCACTTGCATACTGGGTTTGCAAAGAAGAGAAGGAGATCGTTGTTATTCCTCTCTTTCTCCTCAGAGGCATTGTAGTTGGGTTCTCTTTTTTTGGGCTTTTTTTGTGATTCGCACCAAAGATGAACTTCTTAAATATATATTTGCTAAAATTAGTTTGGTTTAATTTTCCTCTGACAATTAGCTCGGCTGAATGCAAATTCTCCAGAGTTTTTCCTCTGTGGGAGCTGGAGTATTGCCAGCACCCAGTGTTTTGTTGTAGGAGAGATCAGACTTCCTGCAGCAGCCCTCTGATTTTGTCGGATGATGAGAGAATTAGGGTTGTACTAAGTCCGACAATTGCTTTTTGTCAATGTGGGGACAATTTCTGTTGACTTAGGAATTTGCAGTTTTTATATAAGCCTTTAAAAATAAAACCCTTTGAGAGCAAGAAAAGCATTCTGCTCGGGTCTCCTGGGTTAAGTGAGTCCTCTGGTGTTTTTTTAGCAAAACAGTTTTTCCTGTAATGTTGATTACAAGTTATTGTATGTATGGGGGGGTTTGCAGTTAAGCTGGAAATATGTTGAGACAGGAGGATGTTTTTTGGGCTTAAAACAAGCTAAAAAGCAAGGCTGGAAAACCCCCATGCTCTCAGGATTTGGAGAGCTGTCATGGGGTTATTAATAAATAATAAATAACACAATAAATCCTGTGCTGACATCTTATTGGACATTTGTGCTTACATGTCTACATGTAAGTTCTCCATTCAATACTTAACCCACCTCGTTTCCTGCTTGTATAGCCTGCCATATGCACCCTTTACACAAACTGAGAATCGCTGGTGCTGTAGCCTCACACGGACTCTCTACCTCTGTCCTCTAATTAATCAACCAAATCAGCCATCAAATAAGGTGCGAACTCCCGAATGTTAACCAGTCTTGTTTCCTCTGAGTTCATTCAGAGACTGTTTTTGTTTTGAAACAACATCACAGCAAAATGCCATGACACAGAGCAGTGCCGTCTCCCACTTCCTCAAAAAAAGCATTGCTCATCTTCTTCTGTGGCCTGTTTTATGTCATTTGCCATTTCGTTGAAGCTTTGTTTGGCCTGCTAGCTTTTAGATGCCGCTCTGGCTGATCTGTTCCACCAAGGTTCAACGTGTGTGCAGCCCGGATTAGAGGCTAACATAAAGTGTTCAGAACTCGGGTTATGTAGCACAATTTCTTTTATCAACATGCTTTATTTGAGGCTTTTAATTGGAGCAGATATGAAATGAAAAAATACAAAAGCATTAGCCAATAGGATATCGAGCATATGATTATGTGACTTGTGACCAGTTGTTGCAATAATCACATGAGAGGAAAGGGCATTGATCAAGTGGGACATACGCAACACTGTATTAGGTCCCTGAATTAGAGAATCTAAAGCACTATAAATAATTGTTTTATGTAAACGAGATCATTGTGAAAGCTTATTAATTAAGTGTTCCTCATCCATGCCTGTAAGGGATATTATTTTTAAATATAAAAATTTTAAATACTTCTCTTTCTCCTAAGAAAATTATCATTACCACTCCGTGGCTGTCGATGTGTCATTGAAGGGGATTTTGTTATAGAAATTCATTCATTTGGTGACTTTTGTTTTTCATTTAGATCTGAATAGTTCATTTCTTTGTTATAACATATGTTTTTTTTATTTGTGTGTTTTTGTTTCATTGTAAAGGAAGCCAAGCTGCGCGAGCTGCTGGATAACAGCACGCTGTCGGGGAAGTTGGAGAGCAGGATGCTGACGGTTGTGAGTGGCACCGACATGGTGAATATCACCTACCTGAACTTCATGGCGTTCCAAGAGGAGATTGCGAAGGTAAAAAAAGAAAATCATGCATAGCAGCAGTAAACAAAGTAACTACTTTTTTATTGTATATAACCTGGCATCTACAGTGGTGAGTGGGATATCTTAGCCAGTAACTGGGCAGTCAGGGTGAGGTTGTGTAGCCCTACCCATGTGCCTATACTCACCCATCATGTGGGCAACCAGGCATCATTCACCTGGAGAAAAAGAAGGCAGCAGGATGCACTATGTGAAGAATAGTACATCGTAATAATTGTATTAATGTAGGGTCTTTACCTTACAATATAAACTGTTTTGAGGCAACTGTTTTTGTTTTGTATTATATAAATAAAATTGAATTGAATTGAAGGCAAGCTGCCAGAAACAGTGTGATGCTCTGGGTAATGTTTTCCTGGGATCCTTGGATTCATGTGGATGTTAATCTTAAACGTACCACATACCTAAACATTAGTGCAAACCAAGCTCGTGTCTGAATTGCAAAGGTACTCTCTGACGACATTAGAGTTTTTCATAGGGGCAATGAGTCGTGGAACACTGTAAAAAGTGCTTGGGAATGCTTTTAAGGAGCATGACGAGGCTTCCAAGATGTTAACTTTGCCTTCAGATTGCACAGATGTCAGTTCATTTAGACATCTGTGGGATGTGCTGGAAAAAAACTAGTCAGATCTGTGAATCTGCTGCTGATGAATTAGTGAATCTACACCTCGATGGGTCACAGCTGTTTAGGCTCTTTGATGGGGACTTGCTCTATAATATGCATGGGGTTTTAATTTTGTGCCTATTTTTTGTATTTGCTATTAAACTAAGCCATTAAAAGCAATAAATAATATTCTCAAAGAGTGAAAGCATTTCTTAATAGTTGTTTATTTTTAACAGATTTAGGAGGCTTTAGACGGAGGTACCATTTCTTTTTTTTAGGATCATGGTGAAAACCTGCATCATAAGTTCATCATCAAGTCATTTACCACTCTGGAAAATTATGAAAAATGATCAGCATACCTACTCAGTATGCATGAACTTCATTTATTCCTGACACATGGCAGCAGAAACTGAACACAAACTTCCAGCCTTCAGCAGTTATCAGCATCAAAGCACAAATGAGTTCACCGCCGCTCTCTTTCCTGACTCTAGGTGTGTGTGTTAATGTTGCGTGTGTGTTTTATTTCCTGCAGGAATGGGCAGAAGAGCTTTTCAACCTGGCGTCCAACCTCTTGGTGCAGAACATGTCCAGAGAGGCGTGCCTCGAAAAAGCGTACGTCACCGGATGCATGCACACGCGGACACATGCGCACGCGCACATGCAAGCAGTCTCGAACAAAATGTAAATCTACAGTCCCCAAGATAGATATGAAAATCGGGTCTGCAAGCACTAGAAATGTCACTCGTAGCAAGAGTCACATTAGGGACCTGATGTATTTTACATGAACAAAAATGGTAAAATGTTATGTAAAAATCTTGCGAAACCATCATGTAGCATTTACACCTTCACCAAAGCACATTTGTGCTTACATTGTTCACACACTGCAGTCTACAACGCAGCCTGATTTTTCACACATCAACGGAGGAAGTAAGAACAGACGAAAGCAGAATTATCAAAACAGCTGGAAATATGTTTATACCAGTTTATAAAACACCCTGCATGCGTCAGTTGTCTTTTTATTGCTTCCCATATGTGAGTGTGCATTTGTTTGGTGCTGTAGTGTTTGTTTTGTGTTCCAGTAGTGACATATAGTAGATTCCAGGCTGACTCGGTGAGCTGAGCTTTGGGTTGAATTGGGAAAAGAGAGGAAGAGAGGGCAAAAAACAGGAAGCCAGTATTTTGTCAGTTCCAGGGTATTACATAAATCACTGATTATCCTTATCAGTGGCTCTATGTCCATGACCGCTTTCATCATCCTTTGCCCTCGTGTCACCTCTGATTCCGAGTGAAGCTCACGCAGAGTGAGCGTAAATATGAACGCAAATCATTTTTTGCTGGACTCTGCTCGCCGACAACTCCCAGCTGTCTGCTGTTTATCAGTGAACAGAAGCCATTAACGTGCACCCCCGAGGAGCTAATTGACTTATGAGACAATAAAACTGGTCATCGACCACATAGTGCAGATAGAGTGGAATAGAACTGAATACAGCAGGTCTCGCGGTCACGTCGGTTGCTCGCAGCAGCAGTTCTTGTACACTCCTTGCTTACAAATAAGGCAATTCTTCGCCATACCGCTGCTGCAGCGCGAGGATGCTGCCTCCCTGAAGTGATGTTGATGTTTCTCCGCGTGTGGTTAATTCTCATCGCTGTCTCTTAAAGCAGTGATACTGATTTTGGGTGGTGGGTTTTCTGAGGAGCGGCATAGCTGGGCAGCGTTCTCATCAACAGGAAACTAAACAGAACCCAGCAGGTTTTTTAAATGACCACTTGCTGAAAGGTGTTGAAATCAGTACAATTATAATTGAATACTCTCCTTGGATAACACAGCCCTCAATTACCAAACATGGCAGGGTTAGAACTGCGTGTTTTACTCTGTGTTGCTCTGTGACTATGTCTGGAAACTTGGAGTTGAGCAGCGTCATCTAACTGCTTATGTCTTTGGCATCATCTAATGAAGAAATGAGTAAATGAGTAACGTCTAGGATTAGCTAGAGTGGGTACGTGAAGAAGAACAGAGAAAGTAGTGAGGTAAACAGAAAAGGAGACAGTGAGTAATCTGTTTCCCCCTTTCTCCAGTGTCATAATGAATAATACAAGCATGTCTGAGTCAGATGGGGGCATTGAAAAACACCTCTTCCCTTCCTTGTTTGGGAGCCTTTCAATCATTCTCTTTAAAAAGAAAGAAAGAGAAAATAAAGCCTCATGCAGTGCTACTGGCTAACTTTATCCCAACCAAAACTTTTGTTTACAGCTTTTAAAAAAGAAGAAAAAAAAAAACAAACTTTGATCCCAATTGACAATTAAAAGTCACCAGCCTATTAGCCTGAGGCAGTCGCCAAGTTCTGTCAAGTGGACACTGTAATGGATATTAATTATTAGCCAGCAGCCACTTAAAGCCCAGCCTACAATGATGGCTCCTGTTGCAGCCGAGCTATTTATAGGCCAGGTTACACACTGCCTGTGCATTGCTGCTGCACTGCTCTGCCCTGCCAGCGTTCAAGACTTCCAGGGATTAGCCCACAGTTCTGACCTCCCGTGTAAACGCCGGCAGATATATCCGCAGTATGCAAAGAGAACTCCACTTATGCACAGTCAGCCACTTTAAGATATTTGGATACGTGCTTTTTATCTCTTTCCGATGCATTACGTACGAGTCTGCAAACCTGGTCATGGCAGACAGTCATTTATGTCAGTCACGCATGTAAGATCAAGCAAACAGCCCCCACACATACATTAGACCTGATGAAGAGTGTCACTCACACTGAATAAACTGCTATCACGAGCTGCTGCTGATGTGTGCTCTGTGCAATGCAGATACACCCGGCTGAAGCTGCAGCTAAACCCTGAGGGAAGAATCCCCGTCAAGAAGTAAGTCTGTGTGACTCATCCACCCCCCCCACCACACCCCTCCCCCATCCCCACAACGGCTCTGCTCTTTTCATCGGTGCATAGTTTCCTCTGCCTTTTTGCCTTCTCTCTAAGCGTGCAGATGCTTAAACCTACACTTTGTTTTTTGCATATTTATTAGAATATATTACCCATTCCATCTGTCATGACAATATTCATTCTTGTTCTCCTTATCACCACTTTTCATTTATCTCACGCTGGGCCCATTTCACCCATGTGAATTTTTTATTTTTTATTTTTTTTAACTTTAGTCTGTGTCAGTTTGTGATTTATCTGAGAATTTCATTTTGTATATTTCAGTTTCAGTTTGATTTATCTGGAAGTTTGTCATCGCCTCATTGAAAATCCACCTCTCTCCATCTCCATTAGTCAAGTTGAGCTTTCAGGCAGGCGGGCAGCAGTGAACCTCCGTGATAACCTCCCTCAGAGCCGCGGAGGAAAGCAGTGGGTGTCAACAGAGAGAGACACTCCTTGCTGTTTAGGGAATTAACCTCCTAGCTAGGAAGACATGTCAGTTTGACTAATGTCAGCTTGATACTGCTCTTCCACTGAGCGTACAGTAAGTGCTGGTGGACCTGCGCAGGCATACCTCTACAAGCAATTAAAACAGGCTATTCCGAACAGAACCAGACCTAAATGTCCTGCTGTGGCTGCAGTGACACTAGAGTCCACTGTAAATCACTTTTATTGTCTGTATACACCGGAATAAAACAGATGACAGAAGCTTGAAAACACAGATGTCTGTCGGCAGTGTTTTTCCAGAGTTAAATGAACCGAGACGCTGATGATGTGACGATGTGATGTGATTTGTGATCATTTTGCGTTATTTACATGCACACATCATAAAGAAACATTACATCTGCACGCCTTTTGTTTATTTATGCAAGAAAAAAGATGCTTCTGTTGAGACGGACTTTATAGCACAAGCACAATGACATGATAATAAAAATTATGACAGCAATGATGAAAATTGGTGTGATTTGCAAAATGACACCATTGCCGGGAAGCTTTCTTTCCTCATCTTTGTTGGGGCCTGTGTGGCATCGCATTCATGAAGAGTTGTCGCTTTTATGTACACAATGGCATTTGCCATGGAAAACTTTGCAATTCACTGTAAGCAGTATTAAAATCAAGATATTTTCCATGTTTAAATGTCAATATTAAAAATATTAAAACTACACTATTTTATCTCAGTCCACCTATCTATCTATGAGAGCAAACATATTAGGAACAGATTTATGCTGCTGCATTATTGCACAGCTTCCTAATGCTCCAAATAAGCTGAATCAGTAGCTCTCCAACTATTTCAGCATAAACAGAAATTTACTGTTTAACCTTTATGAATGTAAAATTCATTGCAAGGCTGTTAGACTGCAGTATTTAAATCCCATCTTCTACCCCTCCCATATTATATTGCATTTCTTTTCCCACACAGGCATCATCTGAGTCTAATATTTGTCTTTAGTGTTGCATTCTGTCCGGCCTGTAGTTTCACCCTTTTTATTTTTTTCCGTTCCCTCCTAAGCTGTTGCTACAATATTACATTTTCACAGAATAATCTTAATATGTGTCAGTTAAATGCTGTGACGAATTCATCCGTTTGACACACAGCCTTTAAAGGAGTGAGAATTTCTCTCCGTGTGTGGCATTTTCTGTGATTACTCATAACAGCATGTTTTTTGTCTCCCTACAGTATCTTCAGGATGTTCTCGGCAGACAGGAAACGAGTGGAGACAGCGTTGGAAAGCTGTAACCTCCCTTCTGGCAGAGTGAGACTCCAAAATACTGAAGCTCTCTGTTTTTTTTCTAGTATTACTGTCGCCTCATATTTCCTCCGTCCCTGAACCGGCTTCTGTCTCCATCTCATCCTGTCTCTTTTATGTACAGTTGCCTTCATCTTTCCATCCATCCATCCATCCATTTCTGTTTTGACTATTCAACTCATCTCTTAAAACACAAACTGATTGCGGCTGTGCTTATTTGTCTTATTTTCTGGATATCTGCATGAGTTCCAGCACAGAATGGATTTAGCCTGGGTTGTAATGCAACAAATAGACCCAGTGGGAGCAATAGAGATGACAAAAGCTGTTTTATCGCTACCTTTTTTTAGATGCCACTAGAGAGACGCTGCACCCTAATGCATAGAGGTGCAAACAGTGCTCTGTATTCAAACAGTAGCAAACAATTTTCATCCCTAGAAGTGGGAAACTGCTGTTCGGTGCTGCTCTGAACGCACACTTGATATGTGTCTAGTAAGGCAAACACACTGTAAAGCTAATTGGAATTGGGTCAGGTCACTTTCAGATGTGACTGAACTCATATAACGTGTTTACATTTAAATTGCTCACTGAAAAGGTTATATCTTAGGTTAAGTCTGTAGTGAAATGAAATGCATTTTGGATATTCAGCATTTTCAATTGGTTAAAATCAGAATATATAACATACCTGACGCAAAGCACAGGTGTTCTGTGTGCATACAAGTGGGCTTCAGTTTCTTTTTCTGCAGTTTTCTTATCAAATCCCAGAAACACTGATTCCCAGTAAATGGTAAATGGCCTGTATTTGTATAGCGCTTTTCTAGTTCCTAAGGACCCCAAAGCGCTTTACACTACATCCAGTCATCCACCCATTCACACACACATTCACACACTGGTGATGGAAAGCCTCATTTGTAGCCTCAGCCACCCTGGGGCGCACTGACAGAGGTGAGGCTGCCGGACACTGGCACCACCGGGCCCTCTGACCACCACCAGTAGGCAAAGGGTGAAGTGTCTCGCCCAAGGACACAACGACTGAGACTGTCGGAGCCGGGGCTCGAACCGGCAACCTTCCGATTACAAGAAGAACTGCCAGTAATATAAAATGTATTCAAAACGCAATAAAAGAACCTTTGACCATGTACAATAAGATCTGATGGCACCCTGATTTTAAATGTAATCTCAGCTGATTATAGCTACTTATTATTTTTAATCTGATTAGCAAATTGTGGCCAACTCTGGCTACAATCAATGGCTTCTGAACACAAATCGAATTAATATATATATAAATAAATAAATATACACACACGGGAATACAAACACACACCCACAGTCAGAACAAGCTATACATAATTAGCATAGGGAGAGAGAGCAGGAGGTAAAAACCGATTGCTGTATGAAGGTCTGCTGGGATTTGCTGTTATTCCATTGCACAAGTAATTACAGCTAAATGGTATTGCTGTTAATCCCTCAAACGCACACACTCCCAGGCAAAAGCACATACACAGCCCAGCTCGCACCAATGTCTTTTGAATGACTCACTGAGTCTCAACAGGGCTTGACCTGCATCCCCCCTACTTCTGTGCATCCTTCCTCACCTCCCTCCTTCCAGGTCTTTTCTAAGACTGCGTGGTTCTGCTCTGTTTCTTGCTGGCAAAATGCTGTTCCCTGCTGCTGAGCACGCTGTGTCTTTATCATACCCGTTTGCCTCTGATAGCTCTATAAGAAGCCCTGACGCTAAGTGCAAATTGCAGGCAGTCATTTGCTGTTTGTTATTTGCATCTCTGCAATTGCTTCAAGAGGGCCAACTATAAGACGGCAGATGGAATGACAGATCTGTGTTTCTTTTAGTCACATTAGTGGGTTAGTGGATAGATGTCTTTACCTCAGCAGTACTCTAACTAGGAAGTCTGCACAACATGAAATTTCTTAGTATGCAGGGAAAGTTTAATAATAAGTAAGTACATTTAAAACCAAAGTTCTTTACCCCAAAATAAAATAGAATAAACAGGTTCCTAAAAAGGTATGGCTATGGCTCACAGTGTTTACATCAAATAAACCAGTAGCTACCAATCCACCAGTCACAGTTCCAGAAATCATCAGTTTCCAAAAGCTTGAAAATATATGTTTTAGTTTTATTTATCTGTGAAACTTCTAATGTGATCATCCCAAAGTTAGCCTGTATTTTAATAATAAACAGAGTTAAGGAGCCCAGGTTATTCTTCGACCTCTCAGTTAATATCTGAGAGCCAAACAATGTGGCATCAGTTTCTTCTTGTGGGACATCAAATTTCATTGTTATTATTAAATTATATCCAAAATTCACTCATTGAGCCTTCTTGTGGCACAGTGATATCCAAGATCCAAGTGTAAATACAGTTAAATCATCAAGAGATTCTATCTTGTGAATAATTTGACGTAGCAGGAGCATGTGCAAAGCATAAAGAACAGACCCCTCTGGAGGTCCAGATTTTATAATAGCTAATGCAGAAGAGTATTTTCCAATGTTAAGTGTTTAATATAGGATTTAAACCAGTTAAGAGTCAAACCCTTAACTTCTCCACAGTGCTCGAAGTACTCCATGCGTAACTCAAGGTCGACAGTGTCAAAAGCAGCACACGACTCCACATAACTAAGACAGAACAACCAGAATCTGCAGAATATCAGAATATTGTTTGTTACTTTCAAAAACGCAGACTCAGTTCTGTGAAAGGTCTCATAAACATTGTTCTCGTGTAGAAAAGATGACAAATAAACAAACCTTTCTTAAATTTTAGTCAAAGATGCAGTTTTGATATAGTATCAATAACACTCAGAAGATCCACTTCCAAATTTTTATCCTTTAAGTAGGACTTGACTACTGCATGCTTAAAAGGAACTGTACAGAAGTGAAGTTTGCATTTATAATTCTCAGGAGATCACAACCTGATGTAAAAAAATATTTCCTCGTCAAACCACGATGGAAGAACAGAAGGGGAACACGTCATATGAGAAACCAAGTCTGACTTCACAGACGCAAATAACCAGATGATAAGCAACAGAGTTAGCACCAGAAATTAGAATATTTGCTCCAATGTGTCCAACCTTACTCTGAAAGAGGTCCTGAAAAGGAAATACTACTACAGTGGCTTGCAAAAGTATTCAGCCCCCTTGAACTTTTCCACATTTTGTCACATGACAGCCACAAACATGAATCAATTTTATTGGAATTCCACGTGAAAGACCAACACAAAGTGGTGCACACGTGAGAAGTGGAACAAAAATCATACATGATTCCAAACATTTTTTACAAATAAATAACTGCAAAGTGGGGTGTTCATAATTATTCAGCCCTCTGAGTCAATACTTTGTAGAACCACCTTTTGCTGCAATTACAGCTGCCAGTCTTTTAGGGTCTGTCTCTACCAGCTTTGCAGATCTAGAGACTGAAATCTTTGCCCATTCTTCTTTGCAAAACAGCTCCAGCTCAGTCAGATTAGATGGACAGCGTTTGTGAACAGCAGTTTTCAGATCTTGCCACAGATTCTCGATTGGATTTAGATCTGGACTTTGACTGGGTCATTCAAACACATGGATATGTTTTGTTTTAAACCATCCCATTGTTGCCCTGGCTTTATGTTTGGGGTCGTTGTCCTGCTGGAAGGTGAGTCACCATGGGCCTCTTGGCCTCCCTGACCTGTCTGGTGTGTTCTTTGGACTTCATGGTGTTGTTGCTCCCAATATTCTCTTAGACAACCTCTGAGGTCGTCACAGAGCAGCTGTATTTGTACTGACATTAGATTACACACAGGTGCATCTATTTAGTCATTAGCACTCATCAGGCAATGTCTATGGGCAACTGACTTACACTCAGACCAAAGGGGGCTGAATAATTACGCACACTCCACTTTTCAGTTATTTATTTGTAAAAAATGTTTGGAATCATGTATGATTTTCGTTCCACTTCTCACGTGTGCACCACTTTGTGTTGGTCTTTCACGTGGAATTCCAATAAAATTGATTCATGTTTGTGGCTGTAATGTGACAAAATGTGGAAAAGTTCAAGACGGCCGAATACTTTTGCAAGACACTGTATATATATTTTTCTTAAGCAACAGTTACAAGGGATTTGACTAATTTTCAAAACGTGTAGAGCTAAGCTAAATTGGCTAAACTAAATAATTCTGTTTATCCGAAGATTATACAAATATAAAATTCACTTTACTGTGCACATACTCATTACTTTACATAGATATGCACAAGTAAGCATCTCATAGATAAAGAAGATGCTACATGAAAGATTGCCTTTTTGTAAAGGCTATGTTAGGATCAGTGCATTAAACTGAAAATAGAGTTAAACACATTTTATTTAACTAATAAAAACACAGTTTTGTTGCACTGAGGCATGCAAGAAAAGTCTTCTCCAGAGCACCTGTCACTGTGGAAAAAGTATCTTTTATCTATCAGCTTGAACATTTTAAATCCACTTTTTTCTTTTGCCCTTCCACAGTACGTCCGAACACTACTGCCTGCAATTTATTCACCTATCTTACTTTTGTCTGCTGCAGAATGACTCCATTCCCCAGGAGGACTTCACTCCAGAGGTCTATAGCATGTTCCTGAGCAACATCTGCCCTCGGCCTGAGCTGGACCACATCTTCTCTGAAGTGTAAGTACTGTGTTTCTCTCTGCTCTCTCTGTGTGGTAATAATAACCTTTTCCACCTCCAAAGAATACGGGAATTCCCAGTTTAAAATGTCCAAAAAAATCACAATTGATACATTTTTTTCCCCAAATCATCTGTTGCTTTTTTCATATTTGTAGCCTCGATAGGAAAATTTGGTTTCCCAGGTTCAAGCCAGATCCTTTTATCCATTTATAAGACGTTAATTAGCCCAGGAAAGTGTGTTCTAATGTCCCTGGTTGTGACGTCTCGAGCCTAGCTGGTTTGGCCTCTCGTGCTGCAGAAGCAGAACTGCCCTTTGGCCCAGAGGGACTGAGACCATCAGCCGAGGAAGCACGCCAGCTCGACCGACGCTACTCCAAGTCATAAATCTGTATTTTAATCACAGTTAAGTGAGGTAGCAGGAGAGCCAGGAGGATGTGGAGAAGATAATTTAGTCGAACAGGCTTGGATGCAAAAGGCGTTTTTAATGAATTCTCATAATTTACTCAAAACACAACATTTAATCCTGTTGTTTTGCATGTCTGCCGCTCTGCCTCGCCGCGTCTTTTTGCGTCTTATTTACCGCTCCTCCCCTCCATCGTTTTTTCCTTGTTTCATTTCCCCATATGCTATTTTTTAATCCCGTCCTTGCACCCACACCTTGCTTAGCAGCCCTTTAAGATGTTTTGTCTAATTTTTTCTAATTTCTGCCCCATTCCTTTCTCTGCTCAGGGGAGCCAAGAGTCGACCATACCTCACAGTGGAGCAGATGACAGATTTCATTAACAGTAAACAGCGAGACCCTCGTCTGAACGAGATACTCTACCCTCCTCTCAAACCAGAACAGGTCCAGCTGCTGGTTGACAAATATGAACCCAATGCTTTGCTGGCACAGAAAGGTCAGTGGCTCAAATTTCTGTCAATACAATCCCAGGCACACTGACAAGCTTATGTGTACACAGACATGCACGTAACACCTTTTAGTACAGATCGACTTCATGATAGTATGCAAGTGGTTTATATTAAAAACTATCGGAAAAACACCGGTACATTATGCCCGTTGTGTGTTTTTACACTGTCCTCCTCCACCAACCCTGCACTCCAGCCGCTGCCACCAATAAATTTGTCAGGGGTGTTGCCATAGAGACTGCTGGATGGTGTCCAAAGCTTTTGCAAGTGAGGGGACATAGTGGGGTGCCGAGGAGTCTGTAAATACCAAACACTCACAGTCAAACACACATCACCGCCATCAAAATGTTCCACCTGTTCCCAACTTGTGCTAAAGTATTGCAGTTGCAATACTCAGAGAATACAGAGTATTGCAGTCCTTGGGATGAATTTTCTGGGATGTCCACTCCTGGGAGGAGTGTGGCATTGAGTTAACACATATTTGAATGCTCCAGACCAGCAAAGTGCCAAAACCTTCCCACCTCCTGACGATCAGTTATTCAAGTGCTATTTACCCTTTTAATTTCACTGGAAGCAGTTTTTCCCAGACTGTGGCAAAGGCTTTCTTCTTCACGTGTCTTTATCTGTCTGTGTAATATAATGCAAGGCTTTGTACCTAAAATTGAAAGGGCAATAAATAGTTTGCCTGGTTCCTTTCAAAGGATTAAACTGCAGTTCATTTTTTAGTTTTATGTGCAGGACTTCAGCACCATTTCTTGATCTGCTATCATTTCACTTTATTATGTGTGTTGGCTTCCTAATTGCTGATTTGCTTAATGTGACCTATATGTTGTCTAAGCGGTAACATGTTGTTGTTGTTGTTGTTTAAACGCACTCGTCTTTTTTTCATTCCCATGTTTAAATTGTATGTAGATGTCAACCATCTTAATTAATAGAAGGACTTTAGTTTTAATATTTAGAGTATTAGGAGTGATACAGAATAATATATAAAGAAATGAGATGGATGCGTCTTGGTGAGCCAGCACTCCTGGACATGCTGTGCTTTCATGATGTCTCAAGTGTCAGTAGACCCAGAGCTGCCAGTACTGGAAAACATCACACTCCAGATATCAGGCAGCAAGTTCTTATATTTGCCAATTCAAATTTTATCTGTGCTAGAAAAGCATCTTACACAACTGTGCCAAAATGGATGAGTTATCGTACACCGTGTACGGTTTATTATGAGCAAAATGCTGGGTTGATTTTTCTCCCCATAGTGTCAAACCAATCGCTGCCTTTGAATATGCCATCTATAGCTGTATTTAGATTACTTAGTCTATATGTTTAGTTTTGTTAATATATTTTCTCCTTCAGGGCTTAAAACATCAAAAACTGTTAAAGCTGGGAAGTCATCAATGCACCCGATTTCTTAGCTACGTATTCAAGGAGGGTTGTGGTGGAGAAGGAGTTGGAATACAGATTGATAATTCATCACAGAGCTCCCAGGAGTCGGATACTATGAACCTAATTCTTATCTTCTTTTTTCAGGTTTGTCTTTTGGTGTGTTAGTGTAGTGGTTAACACGTTTGCCTATCTATATGTAAAAACAAAATGCACTTGCAGTTAAAGTTAACAGTATGTCACGTGACTTCTACCTCAAATCAAACTGTGATAAGCTCAGCTGCGACATAAATTCAAATTTTACTAAAGGATTGAGTGAAGGTTTTCGACAGAAGTATCGGTGGCTTGAATGGTTACCTCGATGTAGTCGCTGAGAGTAAGTAGTAAGCTGAAAAAAGATAAGAAAGCAGTCAAGTGAACATAACAGGTGGTTTTTATGAAGGGGTCCATATGGCAGAGCAGTAGAATACAGCATTTTTCCATATAAAGCTGCTTATTAATACTTTTTGTCATTATGCTGGAGATCTGGAGGATTAAATAATGCTTTTGTGTCAGGAATTCAAAAAAATGTCTTTGGTGCAAGAAGAGAATGATTATCTAAACATTTTATGGAAACCATACTAAACTAGAAGCTTTGTCTTTTTAATAATCTCCCCTGAATAAAGTGCCTACTTTACTCTGTTTGCACATGTGACCGAATAAATCACGGGTCCTTAAATTAGTTAAAAGTCATTTTTTAAAGCACACATATCCATCCTGACTGCCTAATGTTTGACTCTGATCACAGCCATGTGCTCATACTGTGATGTTGTGTGTTCATCCTGTCCCAGGCTCTCTGGAAGCATGCCCTTCCCTGTCCCAGTGACAGATTTCCCCACGTGAAGTATTTATCTAGCCGGAGGAAGTGCTGCCATCTGCTCTGCAGAGGGGTCCAGAGCTCCACATGCAACCTTCACACACACACATACACATAAACATAGTTTCTCCTCTTTCAAGGACACTCATGTTCGTAAAAACATACGTGGATTTTAGGTGGCATGAAAATTTTAGATACGCAGTCTGTGTTTAGCTCGGGGTAAAAAGCCCCCCTGTTGATGGATAAACAGAAAACCATATGCTTTAACTAAATGTGCTCCAGAAATGTGTGTATTAATGATGGTGAAGAGTTTTAGTCTTTGTTAAACGTTTTAATGTTTCACTTTCTCCATTTGTGACTTGGAGATTTTGTTTATTTTTTTATTTTATACCTCTCATTCATGTCTTCACTGCTTAATCACTTTCTGTGACTGTTTCAGTCTGTGCTCTCTCAGATGTTATGACATCGTTTGAAGGAAGATGAATGAAATACAAAATGAAACGAGACACTTGGAGAATTTTTCATAATTCAAGAGTGGATAGTTGGCTTATTCACTTGAATGGTAGAGAGGAAGCTCTCTAGTCTTACGGGTGAAATTCAGAATCCATCTCTGTGTCCAATTTCCTCTCCTCTCAGTATGAGCCGTTATTGTGACCGGTAGCTAAAGTTTTACTTGGCTCAAATCTTCCTGTAGAATTTCTTCTCAGGTTTCACCTTGAGAGTAGCACTTGTATGTTCCCACTCTGGTTCGGCTGCATTACAATCCCAGCCGTGTCAACACAATTTTTCCGTGTTTGACCTACAAATGTCTTGAGAGATGGGGAAACTCTTTGTCTGCACGGAATGTGTGATACAAAGGTTAGACCTCAGCCAGGCGAAGGGAGATCCTGGGAGTCAGCAGGGAGTAAGACGCTGAGTGCGACAGAGCTCAGATGTCACAGACAGCAGCCAGCGTTAATTAGTCCAGCAACTCTGCAGAGGGCGGCACCGCATTAATTAGCATAAAGTGGCCAGAGGGACCTGCTGCACCCGTCAAGCTTGCATCACTTAGCATATTTAGCGTAATTTCAAGTAAGTGTGTGTGTGTGTGTGTGTGTAGGCAGGTGGAGGAAGTATTTTGCTTTGAGCAGCAACTATATGTTCAAAATTTAATTCATGAAGGCAAGGTGTTTGATGTGTATGGTAATGCGTATGGAAATATGATCTCGTGTGGATGGAGATGTGGAGCTTTTCATCAACCGCTTATTACTTATTTATTCAGTGTTATTCACTTTCTCAAGCACATTCAGTGAAGATTAGCTGAGTGATGGCAGCCAACAGGCAAAGCTTATCATGAGTGACCGTGACTACCAATCAACAACGAGGAAGGAACAGCTCCATGGGCAGCTTAGCTTCATCAGATCACTGTATTACTTAGTGATAATAGCAATATTAGCTGAAGCTAGTGGAGCCTGAAATGGAGAAAAGTACATTTATATGTTAATCTACCTGCTGAGCAAAGGGAGCCTTTTCAGACTTGAATTTTAATAATTAGCAGCATGTACTGTAACACAGTATTTAACCAGAGTAGGAAAACATTGAGGGACAGCCCTTAAAGGAAACAACGAGTTTCCCTAAATGAAACGAAAGAAAGTCATTTACCATCAGTCTCACACCCACTGTAATGCTGTAACCTCCTAGGACCTGGCGCTCACATATGTGGACATCACATTTTAGGTTGTCTAGACCAAAATACCAAATTTTGCTCTACAAGGGCTTGATATCCACTTAAGAGGACATTATACTGCCACTGTTCTATCGAAATTTAAAGCAGGTTTAAAAAATTACGTAATTCTCTGTTTTTACATTCATCAGGTCCCAATCAGCCCAAATAGCAAAGAGAAATTAAAAATGCATGCCATGAAACAGTTCGGGTCTTAGGAGGTTAAAGGTGGAGAACAATGCAGGCACATGTTTACAGCAAACAAAAGTTGCTTTTATTTTATTAAAGTCACAGGTGAACGGGGATGCCAGTCCATTCACCTCCATTGGAAATAATGTTTTTATAAAAAGTGACTGACAAAAACACGCAAATGTTCTCATAGCCATGTTCAGTTATGTTGCAGTTTGTTAAAAATTTCATGTAAGGCATTGCAAAGGGTGGGGAAAAAAATCTGTGACACATATGCCACCATATGCCACGCACCATATTTTAGCTTGTGCAGTTAAAAGGATAAGGCATTCTTAATGTTTAACACGGTGACAAATCTCATTAAGAAAATTAAATTCCAACATTATGTTACTCCATCTGCCAGTACTTTACATCTTCCTTACCCTGTCTTTGGCACTCAGCCCCTTTGCCCATTAATTTCCACTGGAAAAAGGAGACAATTCTGTGATTTAACTTTTAAATAAATTTCTAAAACTTTAGGCATCTGCAAATTTTCTTCAAATCAGAATAACTGCAAGATTTGGCAGATAGCTCTATACTGAGTCAGATGACTCAAGAAAAAGCAGATAAGATGATCACTGCAGTGAACAGTGAAGCGCGTGGAACAGCACGGCTTTTGGAGTGTTTTCACACCTGCACTTTTTAGTTTACTTCTACTCTGATATTTTCCCTCCTTGTTGCGGTTCGTTTGTGCAGATGTGAACAAGGTAATCTGAGTTATTGGATCCCAAACTGCTTTGGAGTTTGTTTGGAATTGGACTGAGGCCGAGGAATCCAGAGCGGTTCATTTGTGGTGAAAACTCAATCGACCCAACCGCCAGGTGTACGCTTCGAGTGTGACCTAAACACCTTCCTGTAGCCTGGTGTGCTTTCTATTCTGCGATCCAGCAGAGCAGCACAGATGCGCAGAGAGTTTCTCTGTGTTATCGACTTGTCCAGAACACCTTTCTGGACATGTTTACTTTTGTTCCTAACGCTCCAGATTCATCTGACTAATAACTGAAGTGAGCGTTCTCATGTGGTTTGCAGTGTCGCAGTTGAGTTCACCTGGAGTTTACTTGTTTTTTCTGTGTGAAATGAAACTAAACCACAGGAAAAAGACACAAGTCTACAAACTCATCAACTGATTTGGACCAAAGTAAATAAACTTTAGGTGTGAAAATGAACAATGTACAGAATAATCTGTATCAAGCTTTAAATACACAGTTAGCAAATCAGCTCATTGTTGTTTTGTAGTCTTTTTTGTGGAAATTGTTGCCATCTGGAAAAACAGAGAACATCACAATACAATTAGATTTGGACGCTTGAACCAAAAAAAATGCTTTCACGCTTAGGATGCTGACTGCTGTTGTGTTCATGCAGGTCAGATCTCAGCAGAAGGCTTCACCAGGTACCTGAATGCAGAAGAGAACAGCATCATTCCTCCTGAGAAGCTGGACCAGAGTGAAGACATGACCTTTCCCCTCTCTCACTATTTCATCAACTCCTCACACAACACATACCTCACAGGTAAGCACGTACACACGTTAAAACTTCTTCTATTGGTCTGCTTGCGCAATCACGTTCAACTTGATTTTCCTCCTGACTGATTGCACAGGGAGATCCTTTATTCTCCCATAAATGAAAAGATCAGTCGTTCATTTAGAAATACAATTATGGTTGAAGTGAATACACTCAACTTTATACCTCGTGGGTCAGTCAATCAAATGCACCCTTGCATATCAGGCTCCCTTTCTTGTGTTACTTCTCAAGAGGTTATCCAATCAAGTCATGCCATGATACTTGATTTTGATATTCATGAGTTAAATATTTCTTTGGACTGGTAGTCAAAGTAACTCCCTGCGGTGCACAAGCATGGCTGGCACAATAGAGAGGCCATTTTCTCTTCAATGGATATTAGAATTCATCTATTCAAATCTATTCTGGTGGGAACTGAAGAGCATTGAATCTTTGAAGTGGATCAGATTTCGGCAGCGATTGGAAAAAATTGAATTTTCTGTAATAGCCCAGCCTCATAGCTGGTGGTATGAAGAAATGAGAAAAACAAACACGAGGTCTTTTAATTTTCTCCTCACGAACTGTGTTTTTCTTTAGGTATTTTCATAGTGACTCATACTATGCTATTCTAATAGGGAGCAGAAGCGTGTTGCAATGTGGAGTCTATTTCTGTCCATGAGGCATTTGTGTTTCACAACTTCACACACAAAAAGAGCCATGCAGAATCATTAGTTTGATAACAGGACAAGCATTTCATGTTATTGCCCCATCATAAATTACATTTTAAAATTAAAGTAATTGTGAAGAAATATTTCACCTCATGGAGTTGCTTAAAGATGTCAATTAAACAAGTTTTTGAGAGAAAAAATGAGAAAAGAGTGAAGTAAATGAATGGCATCATACCAAGTGAGAACATAGCTGCCTCTCACTTTAACACACTTCCACTTATTTTGTGGAAACATGCTGCTAATGTGAAGAGATAATTGCTTCGCTAATGGTGACAGGGTGATGAGATTTGCCTGCTTCAGATAACGACAGTTGTATTGTTTTTACTGCATGTGATGAACAATACAGTTAATGAGCTCTTGAAAAGTGGGAGGATGTGCTTTTGTGGGCATCCTGTTTCTTTTTGGATCAACTTAGCCGATACCTGTAAGAGCTGTTTTTTGTGTTCGTGTGTTCGGTGCAGCCGGCCAGCTCGCAGGCAACTCTTCGGTCGAGATGTACAAACAGGTCCTCCTTTCTGGGTGCCGCTGCATTGAACTGGACTGTTGGAAGGGTCGCACCACAGAAGAAGAGCCTGTTATCACCCATGGCTTCACCATGACAACTGAAATCTCCTTCAAGGTAACACAAGGAGAGATGGTGATGGTGATATAGGGGAGGGCTTGGTTGGGGGTTGGGAAGCAAAGGCAACGTTTTCACAGAAGGGTATTCTGCTCAACAGATCATTCACCCACTGCTACTAACCCAACTGTTAGGGTTAATTTAACAATGCTGTGTTATTAAATTTAAATTTAGAATTAAATAACAACAGAACACAGTGTGTTGTTAAATTTGGTTTATCCGTTACTAAATCAGGTTTAAAAATATCTAAAGAGAAGAACACTGAAAAGCTTGTGAATTCAAAAAAATGCATAAATTCACATATTCTAGATGCAGGATTTCTCCACATTTTATCTTTAAAAAATTCTCAAAGAGTTCTTTCAGGCCAGCTGAATATGCTGTTAGCCATGTAAACGTACTCAGTTTTACGACAAAATGCAGAAGCTTTAACAGAAAAAAAGAATATTGTACACACTGGGGAGCGATCGTGGATCGTGGCGATCGTGGATCGTGGCGATCGTGGATCGCGGCGATCGTGGCGATCGTGGATCGCGGCAATCGTGGATCAAGAGTTGGGTGGTCGTCTTGTAATCGGAAGGTTGCTGGTTCAAGCCCCGGCTTGAACAGTCTCGATCGTTGGACAAGACACTTCACCCATTGCCTACTGGTGGTGGTCAGAGGGCCCGGTGGCGCCTGTGTCCGGCAGCCTCGCCTCTGTCAGTGCGCCCCAGGGCAACTGTGGCTCCAATGCAGCTTGCCATCACCAGTGTGTGAATGGGTGGATGACTGGATGTGTAAAGCGTTTTGGGGTCCTTAGGGACTAGTAAAGCGCTATACAAGTACAGGCCATTTACCATTTCACTGTGTTATTTCATCTTCCAATAAACGGATCCATTCTCATAAACTCAGAATTAATCTAATCTGGTTTGTGAAAGCCACCACGTTGCCCCGCCATCATAAAGACAGTGGCCAAAATGGACAGACCGGCCACATACTGTACGTGGCACGCCAAAGGCAGAGAAGAAGAGAACCCACAGGCATTCACATGCCATGGATTGATTCAAAATATGAACATCATACCTATAATTCATCATCTGAAAAGGGGTCCCTATCACCAAACAAGTGAAAACGCAAAGGACAACAGACCAGTGTTCTGAGAAACTGTCCTACTTTGGCAAGTCATCCTACCCATATGATTATTTGACGGTGACTTCTGACCAACTCTAACCCTAACCATAACCATTAGAAATATTTACAATAGCTGAAGGACGGTTTCCGAGCTAGGATGGATTCCCAGAACACCAACGTCTGGAAAAAAGTCACCTTCTCCCTCCTCACTTCACGCCTCATCTCCTGAGCAGAAGTCAGAGCTCTAACAGACAAAAATGTTCATATATATGGGCCATGAGTCCCATTCACAGAGAGTTGGGGAATGGCTGCAATCACAGCATTGTAAGATGATGAAAGATGGACCCTTAGCCCCCCTCCTCGATTCACAGATGGTATTGCCCTTTTCACGTAAATGGCCTCCTTGACTCCCCCACTCAAACCAGCGTTCCTGTCCAGGATGTGTACATCCTCATCACTGAAAGAGTGTCCACTGGCCTGTAGGTGTAAATAGATAGCACACTGATTCTGTGATACTGGATGTGTCTGTCCACTTTTTCCCCACAATTTCCTCCCACACAGAGAGGGGGGATTCATCCAGCCTGCATTTTCTAATAAAAATTTCAATAACTTATCCCTCAGGGATGCAATACAGTATATTGATGTGTCAATATTTTGTACGTACTTAAGGAGGATTTCAGTCTTTATTGATCTGGTGACACATGTGGTCACTGGTGTCAAATAAACTGAATTATTTTAATAAAAAGAACCCATCTGAGGATTTGGAGGCGTGCAACCATGTGTCTACAGCTCTTAATCTAGGAGCTAACTGTGGTTCTTTCTTGTTCTGCTACTCTTTTGCAGACCTTAAAAATGGTCGACTGACAAAAAATGGATAAATACTTGCAAAATAAAAATGCAGACACACTTCTAAGTGTGATCATGGTCAAAACTAACAAACAATGTTCCCTGGGAAATGCTGTACTAAGGGGAGTGAAGAGAAGAGTTTGATTTAATTGATTTAATTAATTTCCCTTTTCTTTGATTGACATCAGGGCAATAGTAAACCTCACCACAACTATATATATTTAAAAAACACATTTCAACAGACAAGTATAGACTGAAGAAGAGATAGAAAAAGCAAAAAGTGGGGCGTGCAAGGAGCAGATGGCAAATCGTAAGAAACAGGGATGTGCTGAATAACCCTAGAAAGAGAAGCACCGAGGGGCAATTAACTGACGACGAGATGCTTTCATAGGAGGAGAAGGGCATGAAAATTTAAGGGCAGAGTAGTGTCAAGACAAAAGAAGAAAGAAATGGGTGAACTGATTGATGGAGGAAATTTAGATCTAATGAAAGTAATAGAAGAAGCAGAATAAGCCTAATGCAATTAGTCTGAGAGTGAAATGCAAAAAGAGAAGAGTTGTAAAAGATGGAAGAGAGCTACAGATTGAAGGGGTTGAGTTACAGACAAAGATTTTTATTGGAGGAAATGAAGGCTTTTACTGAACTGCCACTATTGTTAATGATGGTGTAATTGACTCAGACAATGAGTGGCTTAGAAATCTAATATCGGATGTTGAACTGTCTTCAGCAGAGTTGGGGAATGATTCAACAATATCGCTCAGCTCCCATTTATTTAAATACCTGCAATCGATGACCTACTGTATGGGATTTTTGTTCACATTTTTGTATTCAGGTTCATAGACAAAACAATGTCACTGTAGTTAATGACTTCAAAAGGTTTCGATATTTCTTTTAAGGGCATTTTAGTAATTCTTGGAAACCAGTAGCAAACTCCTGTGTTTTCATTATGTATGACATTAATTAGATAATGATCCAACACTGAGCCTATGTTGTAATTTACAGGTATATTTTGTATTCTTTGTGTTTGGGTATTTAGGAGGTAATTGAAGCTATAGCAGAGTGTGCCTTCAAGACCTCGCCTTTCCCCATCATCCTGTCCTTTGAGAATCACGTGGACTCGTAAGTTAACAGGACATTTTTTACCTCCAGTTGTGCCAGAATTATCTTTACATGTGCGCTGCCTATGTTGATTCAACATGTGACATGTTGTACTTTCTGTTCTTTGACTCGTGCTCAAAGAACACAATGGCAGCCTGATGTTTTGCTATCTCAGTCATTTGGCTATGTGGTCAACGTGAGTCGTCAGTGGCAAGTTTCTTAATGAACCGCTTGATGTTTGGGTATTAGTCTTGCACTGGTGTTATGGGTGCTGGAAGCAGTCAAAATAGAAACCTAAAGATACGTGTAAGCAGTTTCTCAGGTATACCCAGATACATCATTGTAACAGAATGTTATATACTGTGTCCTAGGGCTGTTTGATATAACGATATATATCGGATGACGATATAAAAACATCTATCGCTTCATTTTACGCTATCGTTTGTTTCGTGGTGTCGCAAAATAAACTCTTTACGGCAATATTTTTTCATTGTTTTGATGTCACTGTAGTGGCTATATTCATTTCTTAAAGTTCTCTCTTTCTCTTATATTTAATATAACCACACTATGGACGGACAAGCGCCTGTTTTTATGCGTTGTCGTTAGCAACAACGATGGTAAAACCATCGCGTGTCCGCTTGTTTATGTTCCACTTAAACATTTCACAATAAAGCTCAATATCCTGTTGAGACTTTTCAAAATAAACTGAATCACGTGAAAGATGCAGATTATTTACGGATGTGAAGTAAAAAAGAGCCGCCAGGTGCTAAAAAATAAACCTTAGACTCAAACGTTAGAACAGTCTTTTCCCCGCAGCACACCGTGTAATAAATACTCACAAAGAAAACGGCGCCGTTATGTCTAAAGATGTATCATTTCATGCATCTGTTAAAACACTCGACTCCAGCTACATGACACGCAGCTGGAAACACTTCCCGCAAGTCAAGCTGCCCGAGATTCACAGAATTTACAGAAAACGTTACATTTTTGTGATTTATATCGTTATCGAGACGATAGATGTTTTATATCGGGATATGAGATTTTGGTCATATCGCACAGCCCTACTGTGTCCTGTGAAACTTTAATTTAAAAGTAAATGCATTCCACTAAATTAGGCAGTTTTCCATTTGTTGTATTCGACAATATGCTTAATACAGTTTGAAAAGGATTTATGTATCACACATGGGTGCAGTTACTGAACTGTGGACCATCTCAAGCTGTCTGCTGACATCTCAAAAGGACAACTAAAGCCTTGAAAAGTCAAAAGCTGGAGCTGGGTGCGTGTGGAACTAGGTGCACCCATGTTTCATTAAATGCATGAATACATAATGCAGAAATATGCTTTGTGGCAAAAACTAAGAAGCTGTTGCTCCTCTGAGTTTCCCGTCGCTTGGATGGAATCAAACATGCAGCATCTTCACTTTATAGAGAGTACTCCTCGTTCTACTCCCATTCTCAGTGAGCTACTGAGGTTGCTCCTCCAGCTGCTTCAACCAGCTGCTCCTCCAACTCACAGAGGGTCTTCAGGGGAGATTAAGGGGTGCCATTACCAGCTGCAGTTTGAGACAGTTGAGTTAGTCTGTTGAACACAGAGATGAGTCTCACAAAAGCCTGCCGACAGGGAAACAGGAGACAGGAATGCCTGGTGCTAACTTATTTGCAGTGACTAAACTTTCAAATTAAGAGCGCGGGTATTACACAATAGCAAATTGATTACGTTCTGAAATATACTTGGTGGTCACTGATATACGTGATCAGCCCCTCCAGGTAGTTAATATAAATGGGGGAACTTACATACAGAATCTGTTCATAAATAAAGTATTAACCAAGGTTTTCTTCTTTCGGTATTATAAAAATATATCTCGCATTTAAATTGATTATATAGCAGACTGACGCAGAAGAGTTTTTATTTGATTGTTCTATGTCAGGCCTTTGGTTACTGTATCAAAGTCAGTTTAGACCTTCTAAGGAAAAGATTTGCCTATCACTTATATTTATAGACTCTAGTATAGAGTTGCATTGTTATCCCACACATATTTTAATGAATTGTACTATGTGAAGCTAATATATAACACTTTCCAGAAATATGCTAACATATTACATGGTAACAGTCAGAGTCAGTGTGAACAGGAATCTATGGAAATCCATGTGCTGACTGGTTTCCCTGGGACTTGTCCATCATTAGCTCAGTTGTCTGCTGAAACACTGACAGCACATCACGACAACAGTCATGAGACCGCAATCAGACAGTAAGTGCAAAAAGACGGCAGAGTAAAGTATTAAAGTCAGACTGACACAGACAAATATCTGTGTCGCAACTGAAGAGCAGAAGAACATAAACAAATATCCACTGGATATTGACGCCGTGCATGTGAATATAATTTTTGCATAAATGAGGCTTCATACTGTTAAGCATATTGATGAGGACTGTCCGTCAGCAGGACTGTCAATATGTCTAACCAACCACTTTGTTTTTTATCAACTGTGTAAACACCTGTAGAGCTAGGGACATGCTTCTGATGAATCCTTTCATCTTTAATGGCACCAAGATACTCTGGGGCAACATACATATTCAGGATATTGATATTTAGTGGAGAAATCATGATTGTGTATGTGTGTGTGTGTCTTTGTGTGATGACTCCCAGACCAAAGCAGCAGGCGAAGATGGCTGAGTATTGCCGGTCAATATTTGGAGACGCATTACTGACAGAACCTCTGGAGAAATATCTTGTGAGTATATAAGATCTCCACGCACCCGCTACATTTGCTTGTGCTCACGCTCACATTCACACTTGCTTGACTCTTTCCAACACACGAACACATATGATACAACAACAGTGAGGCATTCAGAAGATACTATCACACAGATGAGTGCACTAGAGAAATGAATGTCCTTGAACGCTGCTGCTCACCATGCTGCCCATATAAATGTTCTCTTTGAGGTAAAAACTCACATAGTTACTTACACACACACACACACACACACTACTGTGAAAAAGTCTTGAGGTCCCTCTCATTGCTTCAGATTTTGCTTCCAAAGAGACTCCTGGGATTTTACACTCAATGCTGACCCACAAATCATTCAAGCATAAAAAAAGGCATCTAACACAAGAGACCAGCCAGTGTTTTGTCTGCACATACAGATAACTTGGCAAAGAATCCGTTTTAAATGGTATCCTTAGGCACTTTGTTACTAGCAACCTGTTGCAAAACACATAGTTTGTTCCATTTTCTCTAGTTAAATCTACGAAAAATACCAAAGATAAAACATTTTGACAGAATCTGTGAGATGCATCTGGACCTTTAGTTGATCCATCTACTGGTCACTGAAGCTTCATCAGAAACTGTCCCAGTGTATGGGTAACTGTCAAGAAGCCATTCTTAAGGCAAACAACAGAACTGGACTAGAAATCTGTGGCAACAGGCCTTATGGAGTGAAAAATTCAAATTGTAAATTGTTTGGGGTTGCATTTCAGCCAGTGGTGTTGGGGGACTTGTCAAAATTTATTGAGTTGTGAATGCAAAAAAAAAGGATCATCATCCAATACCATCTGGAAAGCGTCTGATTAGCAACAGATAGCACACTGTTTCAACATTATCGAAGGCAGCCAACATCCAAAGAAGAGCTTTCAATGTCCCTCGAGAAGCCTTTTGTTGACAGGAAAGCTTGCCTAAGAGAGTTCAGGCTGTGCTGAAGAATAAACATGGTCATACCAAATATTGACTTTAAACTTTGTTGTTTGCCTTAATATACTGTATTTCCATGAATGGACGTTTCAACAAATCAGTGCACCTGTTTCCCATTTTCTAAGCAAAATATAAAGAAATTAGTCTTGACTTGAGACTTTGCAATATCTATATATTAGGGGTGCAACGATACTCGTATCGATGTTGAACCGTTCGATACAGTGCTTTCGGTTCGGTACGCATATGTATGAACAATACAAAATTTTTAATTTATTGTATCAACTTTTCTTCTGACGATGCTGTCTGTGTTGAGCGCTCAGTGGTTCTGCGTTCGACTACTCCGCCTAGGCTGCACTGTTGAGTGCAGATCCACTGAGCGCAGCACAAGCTAGCAAGACAGAAGCTAAGCTCGTTGCAACATGGCAAATTGAACCTCCCCCACCCTCATTCAGATCTGGCCTTTGGAACTATTTTGGTCTTCATGTGAAGCATGACTCTGAAGGTAAGCACGTCATGGACAAAAGTAAAACAGTATGTGGGATGTGCCACGCAATGCTCAATTACATTGGTGGGAACTACTGCGTTAGCGCAGTTTGCTCGTTAACGTGTTGACGCCGTCCAGCCCCACGCACGAGGCGATCCGTGGTAGCTTGTCAACGGAGATTTGCCGTGTTGTGGCGTTAACGTCATTTCAGATTAACGCTGACAGCACTAGTGGGAACACAGTGAATATGACTGCACATTTACGACACCATCCTAGTGCAAAGACAAGTTGAAGCAGACAAAAACAACAAGCATGCATGCTACAAACTTTACCCGAGTCATTTAGACAGCCGTTAGCACATGATTCTCCTTATGGGGACCTGATATGTTTAATATGCTGCTGAGAATATAGCCCAGAAGAAGCGTATAGTATAGCTTTTATTTTGGAAAGAGCCATTTCTCTGTAATAAACTCTCTTTTCCAAAGATGAGTGATTTCTCGATCAGATAGATTAATTTTTTTATTACTTTGTTGTTTCAGCAACATTAAATTTAAAAACTGTACTTTTGAGTTAAAATATATATTTATAATTTTAATAAATGACAAATTAAAAAAGCATGAACATTTTTTTGTATCGAAAAAATATCGAACCGTGACACCAAAGTATCGAACCGAACCGTGAATTTTGTGTATCGTTGCACCCCTAGTATATACGTGTCTCTGTTTTTCTTTCTTTTTGTTTTCTTTGTCTCTTTCTCACACATAACACCATGTGACCTTTGGCACCTGGCAAAATATCCGGCTGCTGTTGTTTTTCATTGAAGCCTCAGCCACTTTCACTTTCTCTTAAACACGCACATAGCCGTGGAAGCTAACTTTTAACGAATCATCCCGCAATCGTGCTTATTCCTCCCTATCACGTCTGTGTTATCACAGCAGAGACTGCAAACAAAAGGGGTTTAAGATTAAAAGGAAGCATTTTCCGCTGTAATCTAAACGTGGCTTTTCTTGGCAGTCCTTTATCTCAGACAGGCCTTTCCTCTGTTGCCATGACTACCAGTTAAAAGCTTCCATTGTCCCTTTGTGGCCAAACTTCTTTCCCCCCCCCCTAAGGCGTCTTTGTGTGTAATGACGCAGGCTCTTACGTGAGGCAAATGTAGACACTTGCACACAAACTCTCGCAAGGACTTTTAGGCACTTCTCACAGTGCGTACGTGAAAACATGCCTCGCAAACAGTTCTGCACATATATGTACTTTAATGTACCGCTTACTCCTCTCGCGTCATTCTCCTGGGATGACGTTATTCCCTTTGGCACAACACTGTGGAGCAGCTAAAGTTCCCAGCAGCAGTAAGATGCAGAATTATCTCACACACGCAGGGAGCTCCTTCAGCACTGCTGCCTGCCAGAGTCACAGCCCGCTGAGAATTACAGCCTTCTGACTGGATTTGACATTGAAGTATTATCAGGGAGAAGCCTTTTGAATGGAGTGGCAGAGGGAAGGAGAAGGGGAGAGATATGAGGAGACAGACACCAAGGGAGAATTTAGAAAGATGGAAAGAGAAAGTGCCATTGAGGAATGAGCTTTCTACCACTGAGCATGTACAAACTAGGAAAGGTGAGAGCAATGACAGTCACTCCCATCTGGCATGGAGTCAGCTGTGTATACAGCGTATCGAAAGGGATATCAGCCTGATAAGCCCACAGGGACCGGGGCAGATAGGGTAATGCAGCTAGATGAAATCCAGCTCAACCTAGAGTGAGAATTAAGAGGATTAAAGTTTTCTTAGAAACTTGGGCTCCTACTCCATCTCCACTTTACAAAACTGTCAATCGCATCCCACAATGACGACTGGTGATTTTCTTTTATTTTCAAAGTAAAAACAAAACAGTTTGAAAGCTTGATTCATCGTTTGTTTTCTTGCTTCTCTCACTATGCTGACAATGACTGTGTTGGCGAAAAACATTTTCATTGTAACTGCGTAAAATATATGAAATATTTGAAGGAATTAAACAATTTGTCTTGCGGTTTGTTTAATCTTGTTGGGGCTTATTTTTAAGCTGCAGACAGACTGTAACTGGCAAGGGGAGATATACGAGCACACATAAGGAGGCCAGATTGAGAATAATGTGGATGCAAAAGTTATAAACTGTCGGAGCTGTAAGGAGGCGAGTAAAATAAATAACCATATCCCAATAACTGAAGTTAAAATACTTTTACATAACAAAGACTTAATTACTTCCTCTAACATGCGCTTGTGGGTCATGCAGCACTCCTCTCTGCCTTCTGCTCACATTGTTTGAATATATAGACCCGAACATTTAACAGTTCATCCCCTGTTAAAAAGAAAGCAACATTTTTAAAAGATTTAAGACTCACAGTCCCTCAGTGTAAAGATACTTATTAAAAAAGTTGTACTTCCCTGGAAGTATTATTGGCAAAAAGCACTTTGAGTATTAATAGTAAATTTACACATTTTGAGGAAATTTTAAAACATTTGCTTAAATTTTGAAGAACAATTTGACCCAATTCAAAAAAACTTGCTCCCCTTTCTTATGTTACATCCAGACCAGATACTCTTATCATACCCAGCATGCACTTGGAACAAAATGCTAAGACTATTCCCTTCACTGAACAATTTCTGTTTATGTAATGTGAAATTGTCTTATTGTCATATGTCTTATAACAAATGAACGTAACAAGCAAAATACTGAAAGTGGTTTAGGGACAAGGACTGGACTGAAAACTTGAAACAGTTGAATCTAGCTTATTAAATGTCACAACCGTTGCTCTGAAATATCGTGGAGCAGATACGCCGTATGAAGCAACAAAACAAGGAAATACTTTCTCACTTTACCACTAGTATGATACTGAGGCTTGAAAGTGGTTAAGGGTGGCCAAATGGAACTTTTCACTTTCTTATCACAGCTGAGCGTAATTGTTTTCGACATTTGGGGGGGAAAACCTTGATTGAGTTTATTTCATTAGGCTTTGTGCGGTGCATTTGAGTGCAATCAGGATTACTTGCCCCATCCAATTTTGCTTTTCTTCCCTGGTAACTGTCAGTGAGGTGAATGCAAACAGGATGGCTAATCTTTGTCGTAAGATTTCCCCCGCAGCAACATTAGCAGAGCGTAGATAGACATGTGCGGAAAATAGGTCACAAGAAGGAAAATCTTGGCGTTAGTTGGTGTATGAATCACTGTTTTGTTGCTCTTGATTCTCAAGTTGCTCAAGTAAAAGTTTGATATGTTTAAGTGAGGTTATGTTTATAGTTGATATGTTGTAAACACAGCAGTTTGAGCATGTGCGTGTGTGTTTATTCTGCACCACTGAATTGCTCATTAGTGAAATATTATTATCCCTAAACACTGTGATCCAAAAGCAGCGTATCCCATAAATGAATTGGAGATGTAGCGACTTTCTGTCCAGCTCATTTGAGAGAACGTGCGTTTGTGTTTAATGTTTAGTTTCCTTGCAGGAAGCTGATTAAGGTGTTGCAAGCGTAGAATTTTTCAGCTATAACATCAGCCGAGTTTATAACACTCACAGCAGAAACAGTCATTTTTTACTAACCAGCTGCATCTAACCAGCGAACTCTTCCTTAGAGGATTTGAAAAGAGTAATAGCCGCAAATTTACATTTTAAGTGGAACACTCCAGTAAACAACTTTAGTGTTTTCATCTGGTAATTAGCTAGTTTGTCAAAAAAAGAGAAAAAGCCAGCTTAACTGTGATTGCACTGTAGCAATCTTTACCCATAAATTAGCATTTTGGAGCATTTGCTCTTGCTCAAATTTATATTTACAATTTTAATCAGGAAAAATAACTCATGTTCTCTCATCATCCAATATATCTGAAATTATTAATGTAGGAAAGCACCTTTCATTCATCTATAACTGCATCTTTCTCCTTCCACATTCCCTCTAGTTGGAGTCTGGTGTGCCGTTGCCCAGCCCGATGGAGCTGATGGGAAAGATCTTGGTGAAAAACAAAAAGAAACACCACAAGACAAGTGGAAGTGCAAAGAAAAAACTCTCTGAGCAGGTTTCTAACACCTGCAGTGATTCTTCCAGCGTGTGTGAGCCTTCCTCCCCAAGCGCAGGTACTGCACCTTTAATATAATACACACACACACACACACAAATTCTACTAACAAAGCCATCAAATCACAATGGGCTCACTGAGTTATGATATTTCAGATGTGTAAAAGCTAGCCTAACCATCTGGGTCCCTCTGTACTGTGGACCAAGAGCTCTGTGCCGTCCAGAAACTGAATCACTGGAGCAAAACAGTGCTATTGTTTAACATTCATCACTTTCATGGCCCTCTCCATCAGCTGAAGGTATTATTGGCTGTTGCATGCACTCCCTGCAGGCATTATACATTTAAACCGGGGCATCTTAAACTCTGGCCAGTTGTGTGTGAGTGTGTATGTATAAAACGCTCTCTGCTTTTTGCTGTAACTGCCTAATATCAGTCCTATTTGTTCATACGTTTGCCTTTTCAGTTGTGTACTACATACGCACTCGCAACAGCACCAGGTCAGCTTTGGTGCTAAGGGATCTCAAAGTATGCCAAAAAATATCCCCCACAGCATTACACCCCCAGCCTGAACCGTTGATACAAGGCAGTCTGGATCCATGCTTTCATGTTGTTTATGCCAAATTCTGACTCTACCAGCTGACAACCACAAGAAAAAATCGAAACTCAAATCTTCTCCTGTACACTTTTGGCGAGGCCGTGTGAATTGTAGCCTCAGTTTCTTGTTCTTGGCTGATAAGATGTGTGCGGTGTGTGTGTTGCTGTCCATCAGCTTTAAGGGTCGATGTGTTTCTTGTTCAGAGATGCTCATCTGCATACCTTGGTTACTGACACCTTCCAATCACCATGAAGCAGTCTGTCCATTCTCCTCTGACGTCTAGCATCAACATGGCATTTCCTCCCGGAGAGCTGCCGCTGACTGGATATTTACTCTTTTTAGCAGCAACTCAGTGCTTTGATGCATGTAGACATGTTCAAGACAACCTGGGTCAATGAATGTTTTGATGAATATGGATTCTCCATAAAACCTAGAGATGGTTTTGTAGGAAAATCCCAGTAGATCAGCATTTTTTGAAATGCTCAGACTAGCCTGTCCGACCCAAGTTCAGAGTCATTTAAATCATTTTTTTGATGCTCATTTTGAACTTCAGCATGTCATCTTGGCCATATCTATATGCCTAAATGTATCAAGTTGCTGCTGTGTGATTGGCTGTAGTTATGTTATGTGTATCATTTGGTTGTTACAAATGAGTGAGAAAACACGAACCCATGGCCCCCACAGTGAGAGTCTAGGACACATTTTGCTGGATATCCATGGTCCTGTAATCAATCACTTCTATCCTAATAAGTATGGAAATTATTTGAATCATTTAAGTCTAACATGGACTGACATGTTAGACTGTTCTCACCACCATCATCTTAAAAACACCAGGGTCCAGAGTCTGGGAAAATCAATATGAAGCGAACTGGAGCTGTGGTGGCAGGCAGTGGCCAAACATATATTGTTTTGTCTATTTATTTAACATCCATCTACATATTCCACTGGACCAAGCAACATGTCACCTTTAGTCTGCCCTGGTTTTTGAGCTTTAAGTTCTTCTTAGGCTAAAACACACTGCCCCCTGGTGTTGGAAAGTAAGCACTACAAGTTCACGGTCAGGAGTCCTTTTTAACTGGTATACACGTTGTAAAATAACCTTTGTTTTTGAGATGATTTACTGAGTAAACTAAACAGTAAACCTTGAACTGAAAAATATGAGGATGATCTTCAGTGAGTGCTTTGTTTTTAAATCGCAGGTTCCACCAAAGAGGAAGTGGCAGACTCCACACAGCCCTCTGATGGTACTGAGCTTACACTGAGACCACAGGGCAGAAAGTCTATTGGTGAGTCCATGACCTCAGATGGAGACTTAAATCTTTAGTAGAGCCCTCATTAGGCCGGCACAGAAGCTATAGGTCAGACAATTACACCGTTAAAATCAATTTCCTCTGTCAGTGCGACCTCCGATTCAGTGGGAAATCTTAAGCAGATCTCTCATTATGTGGGTGCAGAGGCTGGGTCAGCTCAACCAAAACAATATTGAAATTCATTTCCTCTGTCTACGAGCGCCAATAAATTAGGACCTGCCAGCATGAGCCTTACTTGTGTCGCTGTTTTAAATGTAATGGAGGCAGTCGTGGGCTGTAAATGAAGACCATTTAAAGACAGACGGCTCCGTTCGTGTTCGTGCAACGTTTGCATTGATTTGGCAGAAATAAAAACTCAATTTACACTCATTTCAGCTTTGTTTCATGCATTTCTCTGCTATCCTGTCTGTGCCATGCGTTCTAGGTGAAGTGGAGGCCGAAAGCGAGGACGAAGATGATGATGATGATGACTGTAAAAAGGGATCAATGGATGAGGTGGGTATCTTACAGGTGACAGCCATCAGTTCAAATCCTGGTTATAATGGAAACAGACTGTGTAGCCTATATGTGCTGAGGTTGTCCTCTAGTATATGATCATGTCTCCAGATTGTGTGTCTCCAAAATCAATAAAACCTTTGCAGAAGGATTCTAACAGACTTTTTTGGTAACGTTTCTGCTGCTTTGTATTTTCACGTTTTTTAATATGTGTGCTTCCATGTGTAGGGCACAGCAGGCAGTGAGGCATTCGCTACAGAGGAAATGTCCAACTTGGTCATCTACATCCAACCTGTCAAATTTAACAGCTTTGAGGCTTCCAAAAGTCAGTAACAACAATGAATACTGAATGTGCAGCAACAAACAGATCACTGTTAAATAAGCTGACAATTGTATACCATTCTCAACCCACAGAGATCAATCGAAGCTACCAGATGTCATCCTTTGTCGAGACCAAAGCTTTAGAGCAGCTGACCAAATCTCCTGTAGAGTTTGTGGAGTATCCCTATGGTTATACCGAAGCATCTCTCTTTCTGTCCTTGCTAAGATAAGAATTCGTGCTTCAGTGTCTGATGCCATGGTTCTCAGCTGGGTGAGGAGAGAGTTGTTGCCTCAAGTGGGGGACTCCAAGTATCTCGAGGTCTTGCTCACAAGTGCAGCGATAGAGGAGAGGGATATTTATATCTGTTGTGGTGTCGAGAACGTCATGAGCTGTTGGTAGTGATCGAAAGTTACACGAGAATAAATGAACTTCTTCTGAGAGTGTCTGGGCTCATTTTTTGGAGCTGATGGGTGAAAAGCTCAGAGTAGATGAGCATAGGTGTTTCAAGCATAGATGAACTGAAGAATAGCCTGTTATTTCAGCCTCATTTTACCCCTTCATAGTAGACAAAGGCTGAGTGTGTTCCTTTTAGCTTTTTCCTTAACTTGCTTCTGTGGATTATGTTGTTTGTGAGTGATTTTGGAGTAGTAATCCCAGCAGATGTTTAGTAGCATCACTTAGAAAGTATTTTCAGATGCAGGTCATGCAGTCTTGCCCTTAACAAGCTCTGTTCAGATACAACAAGCTGCAGCTGAGCAGGATCTACCCTAAAGGCACTCGAGTGGATTCATCCAACTACAACCCTCAGCTGTTCTGGAACGCAGGCTGTCAGCTGGTGGCTCTCAATTTCCAGACTATTGGTGAGAGGGAAGCCCAAAACACATTCCTTCACACTGAAGAATAAACTAAAACACTCTCACTTTTATGTCATTATCCAGGTTTAAATATGTTCCTATCCTCACCCCACAGATTTATCAATGCAGCTCAACCTGGGCATGTATGAATACAATGGGAAATGTGGCTACAGACTGAAACCAGAGTTTATGAGACGGCCGGATAAGCACTTTGACCCATTTACCGAGAGCACAGTGGATGGGATAGTAGCCAACACACTGTCTGTGAAGGTGTGTTTATGTTTGTGTTTTGTGTGTGTACGTGTGTGTGTGTAGCTTTCTCTCTGTATAATTAAATTTTTCCTTCCAGATCATCTCAGGCCAGTTCCTGTCAGATAAGAAAGTGGGCACATACGTGGAGATCGACATGTTTGGTTTACCAGTGGACACAAAGAGAAAAGCATTCAAGACCAAGACCTCTCAGGGCAATGCCATCAACCCTGTCTGGGAAGAGGAAGCCATTGTTTTTAAGAAGGTGAAACTATGGCCTTGTACACACGCAGTGGTAACATTAATTCCAATCATAGACTGTATATGCAGTGTTCTTGATGTACAGTCCATCAATCCTTTTTCATCCCTTTGAACTTATCTACTTATTCAGTCAAGGGATTTGACTACTGTGGCTATCAATATGCAGATATTGATAGGTAGCTGTAATGGCTATATGTCATAAAGCTTGAAAAAAACCTGGGGTGTCATTTAATTTCCATTTTGACATCTTTAGATAATTAAAGCGCTAACGCATTCATATTCAGTTTATACCTATGGATTTAAGCAGCAAAGCCACTGTTAAAAAAAAAGGTTGGCTGCATTAATCTTGACCATCTGCTTCCAGTTAATGATATAACAGTAAAAACAATTTGTGTGTTTTATTCCCATTCATAATATTATTCTTAGGTTGTCCTGCCCACGCTAGCATCACTGAGGATAGCAGTGTTTGAGGAAGGAGGGAAGTTTATCGGACACCGCATCATTCCTGTGTCAGCCATCCGTCCAGGTGACAAAACTTTGCACTTATTCAGCATAATTTCACACATAGGTTGGCGTTTGGTCAATATCAAAAAAAATAACTTATATTAGACTTTATATATTTATAATACAGTTTGATAAATCATGAAACATTTGCATAAGCTTTGCTTTGCTCTAGAGCCTGACCGATATTTCTGCCCTGATTTGTTGGTATGCCGACATCAGCTGTTGACTGATATATCAGTATCTGATTTTAGAACAGCTGATAGATGCAAATTTAAAAAGAACCAACCATGTTATGACTGTTGATATTGCACAGTTGCTCGACCAAAGGCCACTCTACAGCTTCCACGTTGGCACTTTGTTTGGAGCAAGTAATGCACGACTTGTTGTGACAATAGAACAAGATTTATTTAAACTGCATTGCCATTATTGTCTCAGTAGGGACTTATAAATAATTACATGTAACAGTTTTAGGGAAATCTGTGCATATTTCATGTCTGTGAAAGAAATGAAAAAATATTGTTTCATTACCAGATATCTGTATCAGTGTTGTGGCCATTTTTGTTGAATGTTTATAAAATGCAATTTGTATTCATTTTTTGTTTTTTCCTTGAAGGTGTAAGAATATACTGACCTTAATTTGTAATTAATTTTATTGGATAAGCATTCGATAAGTGATTGGTTTATTAGTTTATGGACCCTCCCATTAATTAAGAGATGAAGAGCACCTGGGATGGGTGTGGTAAAGAGCTTTTGTTTTTTGTTTGCCAAATGTCAGATGGGAAGACGGGAGGGTTAGAAAATGATTTTTTGACCACTTTTGAAATTGTTAAAACAAATTAAGTTAACTTTCGTTTAAGTTTTAAGAAGTTATTTGGCTGATTTCTGTTTGTATTTTTTTTCCCGAAATAAACGGCATATGATTTTAAACAATGGAGTCAGAAGTGCGTAGCAAAACAAACCTCCCGTTGCCACCCACGGCCTTTCCTCGGATTTTTTGTTTGGAAAGTAAAAGGCCGCGACAATCAGTCTTTAAAATCCAGTATCGGTCCAGCTGTTCTTTGCTTTGATGTAAAACTGTTGTTTCTGGAATGATAGAATTAAAATCTAACCCAAACCTTGCAGGCTATCACTACATCAGTCTGAGGAATGAGAAGAACCAGTCCCTGACGTTACCTGCTCTGTTTGTGTATGTTGAAGTAAAGGACTATGTCCCAGACACATTTGCAGGTAAGTCAGGTGATCGCAAGAAAGAAGAAAAACAGAAAAAGAAATGTGTTTTTTTCATCATCACTCTTTTCTTCCCTGTCCTCAGACGTCATTGAAGCCTTGTCCAATCCAATCCGCTATGTCAACCTGATGGAGCAAAGAGCCAATCAGCTGGCTGCTCTCACCTTGGAAGAGGGAGGGGAGGAGGAGGGTGACAAAGAGGTGTGTGTGTGTGTGTGTTTGTAGTTCTCTCTGCATCACAGGTCATCCAACATGCGTCTCTCCTCTGTACTCTTTGTGTTCATGCTTAAAAAGCTTTGAGGCCAATAATCAGTGGCTGATGAGATGAGCGGTCCCTCATACAGATGGGCACTCTCCTCATTATGAGGAAGAATCTGGTTAAGAAGTCAAAATATATCATGGGGAAGGTGAGAAGATAAAGAGAGCAGAAACAATTTAGAAAGAGATAAGCGTAAAAGGCTTTTTAATACCATCGCAAGTGCTTTGAAACCCACAGCCATCTAATAGCACTAGTGAATAAAATGATGGATTATTAAGCACAGCACCACAAGTTCACACAGATACTATCAGCAGACTTTGTTTGGAACAGTTTTTGTTTCTTGGTCACCCATGAGAGACTGTATTTCCAACCACAGCTATAGCGTCATTGCAGCAGCATCAAGTCTAATATGGCATCGATCTGCTAGATATCACAAATCACCCCTGCGTATATTACCACTGATTCTCAGGGGATGCTTTATTTTATGCCTGATGTTTTTAAGAAAAAGGCCAGCCTTAAAGTACATGAAATCCTAACAGTATCTATATAGTTCTACCCAAATAATATCTTAAATGCAGGTCTGTGTGTTTAACTGTTGTTTACAGTGTTTTGAATGATGATGTGATGTATTGTGACTCAAGTAAAAGAGCAGCAGTAAAGCACTGGAATACTTCCTACAGTGCTGATGAAAATAATTTCAAAATTGAAATACAGATAAAACCTGTGATAGATAAATAGTGGTGGGGTGACACTTTAAGCTTACATAAATACAGAGGTTGTTTAAAAAGATGCTCAGAAGTCAGCGGAGTTTACCGTCAGGTCCTTAGGTAGTTGGACAGAGACACAGTTTTTGTCATTTTGCCTCTGTACACCATCACAGTCTATTTTAAGTTACGAAGTCACCCACAATTCCACATGAATGCAAAGTCCTGATGTGTGAGACTGTGTCATGAGGCTGAGTAGACTGAGGGGCGAAGGGCCTGTAGTACTAGGGAGCTGTGATCGCTTTGCAGTGTACCTGACCTCTAACTAGTGTCTTAATTGTAAGTCTCCTACTATAAAGCCTATCTACACTCACCTTAGCTGTGTTAATGTTATTATTTTTTCGTATTATCAGTCTATTAAGATTGCACTTTGTATGCTGTAATGTTTTATCTTTCGCTCCTAACCAGGAACACTTAACCAAAATTTAAATTTTAGTGTACTTTGCTTGACTGTGTCATGAGATTTGATTGAAGTGCAGACTTACACAGCCCTGACAATGGATTCATACAAAAGAATCACCAAAGACCAAGACTACTGTTTAAAACACTGCAGGTTTAAAATGTTTTGTTTCTTTTTTTTTTGCAAAAATGCAACTAAACTTTGTTTAAAAAGATGGCATTTCTCACTTTAACCCTGCCCCACGCAATAACAGTACAATCTACTTCACACATTAAAGCACGTAGTGACCAACGATGCACAGTATATACACGCAGTATAGGCAATCACACAGTTAAACTAGAGTCGGCAGTAAGCTTAAATTTTAGTACAGGCTCCAGTTTGAAAACAACTTAAATGGCAAGAAGCTCAGAATTCTGCTGCTTCAGAAAATGTGATTTATTTATTTTTTTGCTTTGTTTCAAAGTGACAACCAAGGAAATATTAGATCACAGACAACTCAGACTAACAGGGTCAGCAACAGTGCAGCAAAGGGAGGAAACAGGGTTTTACTGACGTTGTTCATTTGCAAGTAGGGGACTGTTTGAATTTACTCAATGGAGACGAGCACGAGTAATGTAGGTGCCAGTGTATCAGGTAACAGACACAGACTTAATTACTGAGGAGAGATGATTTCTAAGACTGGAGTGAGGATAAATTTAGGATGACAGACAAGGCAGGACGGAGTTATCTGGGGTTATTAGGAAAAGCGAACCGGAGAGCAGGGTTGTTCCTGAAGGGCTTCTTTGATCTGTTCTGCCAGCTGATATGATTACCCACGAGAATGGCCAACAGAGAGCTGTATCATGCTGTGACCATGGAAACAGTGACCGAAAGAGGCAGAGCGTGGAGCGCGGAGCACAGTGTGGGGAGATAAGTGTAGAGAGCAGAGGGGAGAAAAAAGGGAAACATTCGGTTAGCATGACAAAAAAACGAGATCATTTAAAATTGCATTAACCTTTCAGAGATAAGAGCGTATAGGCCGACATTCAGGCAGGCCGACGGGAAATTAAGATCTGCTGCGCCTCAGGAAACCATGCTGAGAGTGGGTTACCAAAGCTATGTCTACAAACTAAGCTGCACGGCACAACAGGGCCAACAAGTGAGTTCTGAATACAGGTGCAAAGGAAGGAATTACTCCTACTGTTAGACTCAAGCGTCTGTTTTTTTGTTTTCTTCTTTTTTATATTGTACTTCATATGAAGAAGTTTGGAAGTATAATTCTGCCTGATTTAAATGATATTTGGGATTTAAGTTGTTCTGCAGTAGTTTTACTTTGCATTTGCTTAATCCTGAATGTTTCATATGATGCACAGGTGGAGACATTAAGTGATGCCCCCTCAGAATCAAAGGATCAGAGGATAACGCCCGCTGAGAACGGACTGAGCCACACACCCACTCCCCCCAAACCTCAGTCGCTGGTCAGCCACCAGCCTCAGCCTGCAGGTACTAAAACAGCGTACCTGCCTTCATTATCATCATCATCATCGCTACACGTCCACAGTCAAAAAGATATTCATGCCTGAAAGGCTGACTTTGAGTAATTTTGTACATTTTTCATATCATTGTGGTAAATACGAACAATCTTAAATTTAATGGAATCTAATAACTAACTAACTAACTAATTATTTGAATAAGTAAATCTTTGATATAATCTTGGGGAATATTTTTTTTCTTACTGTCTGACTTGATTTAATATATATAACAATGCATTCGATTAATATAGAAATCGCTGTTTGTACCCAGTTTACTGACTTTACTCCCACTTTAACTGATCCTGTGAATTCTGAACAGGCTCATTGAAACCATCAGTGAAGACTGAAGACATCATCCAGAGTGTTCTCACGGGTGAGCTTCTGATTGCTAGATCTATAGTGATTTTACTGATCTCTGTTCCTATCTTTATTTGAAATCACTTCTTATCAAAATTAAGTATTTATTAGACCTTTTGACTTGATTTGCAAGATAATAAATCCCTGTGTTGCCCATATTAAGGTCCTATTTCTTTGTTCAAGATTAATTATTCATGGTTGCTTTTGCAGAGTAACAGCACTTTAATATTATGGCCTTCCTTAGCGATGGGAAACAGTATAGTGAACATATAAAAGTTTGTTGTACAGTAGTTTATAATTTTTTCATTAGAAATCTTTTCCCTTGACCTTTCTCTTGTATTTAGAACTGGAGGCTCAGACAGTGGAGGAGCTGAAGCAACAGAAGGGCTTCGTTCGGGAGCAGAGAAAGCAGTACAAGGAGATGAAGGAGCTGGTTCGGAAACACCACCGCAAGACCAGCGAGCTGATCAAGGAGCACCAGGCTCGTGTGTCGGAGCTGCAGAGCCAGCATCAGCGTCGGCGCTCTGCCCTGCAAAAGAGCCATAAAAGAGATGGTAAGAAAAGGTAGGTGGCCTCCTTTTCTAGTGTTCAGTTTTCCTTTTATTTGCCTTCTTTTTGTTTTTGAAGCCGTCCCCTCCTGCTCTGTGTCTTTAAAAGAAATCCACCAAAATTACAATTAGTAACAAGCTCTTTTTTTCCAACATAAAAGCTACTTTGCTCCCAGATCAGGCTGCTCCGCATGTTTGATTTGGAAGATTTTCATTTTCTTCCTGACACATCTCTAAAGGGATTTGATTCTCTCCTGGGATCAAACTGAGGATCTTTTGCTTGTCAGGCAAATTTGTTAACCACAACACTATAGAGAAGTGTGGAGTCAGTGGACATGCCAGACCACATAACCGATTTAAGAGGACCCAGCAGTGGCACAGCCCTGATGAGCCTCCGATTCAACTTGTGTCAAAAGTGCAGATTTCTGACTATATTCCACTTTTTAATTTTAATAGTGCTATTTTGTGAATTGTATTGAAAATTTTCATGTAAGTCCTAAACCGCAGAAATAGACTGAAACTTAACCACACATGCTGTTGTGCACACATCTTACTGTAAATACCACAGAAGCGTTTTACATATTTTATGAGGTGATAATGATTCTGTTAAACTATGTAAAAAAGTACATGCAAACTCAATATGCCACACCACAGTGGAGTGCATACAGTACTAGTTAAAAGCAAACACAGGTATTAGTTGCTGAGCTGTTCATAGAATTTTAATGTTGCTTAAGACTTCCTCCAAGTTTCAGGCATGTTCATGTCCAGAACAAGTGTCTATATCACAGACTCCACCTGCCCGGTCTTTCTTTGTGTTATAAATAACTTCAAACACCTAACATCTAAGTTTTTACCATCGCTTCCTGAGAAAGTGCATGAAAATAATATTTTAATGTGCAGCAGACATGTGGTCAGAAATTTAAAGTGAACCCATTATTCCTCTCCTGATTTTCGTTCACATTTTCTTTGTTTTACATCAGTGCTGATTAATTTGCTCACAGAATATTTTCCCCAAATTCTTCATCTTTTGGCAAATGTGAGACGAGTCTTTGTGAGTGCAGAAGCCTACCTGCTGTTAAACCCTCTGTTTGCAAAACATGGCCACACCAAAGTTGGTTGGCAGGAATAGGAGGAAAAGAAGTAAAATAGCTCATTTTGGACAGGTGATGAACTGAGTTGCTGCACCAAGGCCTAGTACAGGAGAAATAATCATTTTTTATTATTTTCCACATCATGCAAAGGTAATCTAGTAGGTCATGTAAATAAATTTAGGAGTCAGAAGTGAGCATTATAGATTAGTAATGCTCTAATGATTCTAACAGTTACTGCATAAGATACTCTGCTGCGATTGAAGTATCTATCTTAATTTGTGCATGTTTTGTTTGTGTGTTTGCACGCATGTGTCCAGTCGGTCTGAACAATCTCTGTCCACACTGGACCAAGAGCTGTGTGACCTGGACCAGGAGTGCAGCCAGAGACTGGCCGAACTGAAGGAACAGCAGCAACAGCAGCTCCTCACACTTCGCCAGGAGCAATACTACAGCGAAAAATACCAGAAACGAGAACACATCAAGCAGGTACTTCTCCTCAAATCTGACAATTAATTATGTGCAGATGTGAAGAAGACCCTCGTCTAGACCTGTCTGATACTGTGTGAATAAACCAAGTCTGTAAATAAAGACAGTAATCCCCTTTATGACTTCTCATCATTATTCAGGCCAACTTGATCTGAATAAAACTTAGATGAAAACAAAAATTATGTTCTGTGTAATTTTCATTTGCTCCCAGAGCGGATGTCGCTGCGTGTTGCAGTCATTTTTGGCTGTAAATCACACAGGCTGATAGCCGTAATCATTTAATACTCTGGTGACACAGTGTGTAACACTTTGAGATGGAATCACTGGCACTGCCAGAGGAACATGTGAATGGAAAAATTACAAGGGAAATGACTGTTTAGGAAGTTTTCCTGGCTCATAGCTTTGGTTTCTTTCCCTTTGAGCTGCTAATTCAGCTCAGAAGGAAAAGGAAATAATTCAGTGCAAGGAGCCATTGATCAACGTTCAAGGGATCCTTTGAATTGACCAGATATAGTAAAATATGCGTGAAGAGAGGGCAGGAGAAGGTCATACACGTTCACATATTTGAACTGTGAGTCGAATAAATAACACTAATTGCAGATGAGCAAATGTACAGACTTTTAAAACCCTTTTGGCACATGCTCTTACAGGGACACCACGCACCACTTTATTCTCTATAAGATATCCCTGATCTCCATTCCCCCTTTTATTATTTTCTGGGACTGCTTTTAAAATGCCATTTGAATGCACAAACAAAGCTTTAGTTCAGTTAATTCCGCACGTATTCCAGTCAAAACAATTTTGCAACCTTTCTTATAATTATCAGTGGATACACACTGCACATAGATGAATGGGAGATTGAGGACCTAAAGTACTAAGTGATGCAAATTAGGTTGATGCTGCAGTATCCAGAATGCACAGGTGAGAGTGGAAAGCTTTGCATGTGAGCTTTAATAATGTGATCTATCAAGATCAGTGCATAACAGGCTGAGTAACCTACCAACTAAACAGTGTAGCTCTGTTTTTCTGCAAAAACAAGACGTTAATTCATATTAGTGAAGAAGAATTCTGATGTAAAAGTCTTGTTTTTGTTTAATTTTTTTTTGCACGCCACTCACAGCGTTGGGACATCCGTTCTGATAACGTCTCATCCTGGCAATGCAAATAAATGAAAACACTCTTAATGGGAAGTCCAACAAATACAAATGCAAAGGGATCAGCCACAAAAACAACCCTCTCTGTGCTTTTCAATCAGAAAATTGAAGCTGCATATTTTGTAGTTTTTATAATGCCAAAGGAGAGATTTGGACTGCAAGTGCTCTGCCTGTTAGCTGCCTATTTATAGACATCACACCAATTCTGAAACTTGTCTCCATACTAAGCTTGTATGCCCGTATGGACATGCGCTACTATGCACTTTCCCCAGATAAATAATTGCCAGCTGTTGCGTTCTCACATAAACTTCTGTAATATAAACAAGCATGTTCTGTATGTAAAACTGGGATAAACAGATCCCACACACAAATAGGAGCTTGCACTGATTTGTTTTGGATAATGTGCTGACAATCTCCAGCTGTCCTAAAGCTCAGAAAAGCAAGTGCAGACTAACCACAGCATGAATGCTGCTGGGTCATCCCCCTGTAGAATATTCCAGTCTTTGTTTTGCTGCCTGTGCTCAAGCGCTCTTGTGTGGCATGAAAAAATGAATGTATTCTGCTCCAATACCCCTGCGCAGTGAGCAGAGCGCAGGTGTCAGAAAAGTTTGTCCAAGCGTGGAATTAAAAAACAAAAAAGCTTAATGGAGATTGTTGTTTACAACATCTAAATGTTGTTTAATTATGATCAGAACTACAGCAACGGTCGCTTCAGTGATATATTATTTATGAAATAAACGATTAATTAAAAAGCTGATGTTTTCTGTCACATGTTTTTTGTTCTCTGTTCGTTCTCGTCCCAGTTGGTTGAGAAGCTGACCAGTATAGCAGAGGAATGCCAGAGCGCTCAGCTGAAAAAGCTCAGAGACATCTGTGAGAAGTAAGGATGGATACAGCACGCACTCTTATTCACTGAAACAAACAGAAATCACAACATTGGTTTTTTTAATTGTCCTAACATCTACAGAGAAAAGAAGGATCTTAAAAAGAAGATGGACAAGAAAAGGCAAGAGAAAATCAATGAGGCCAAATCCAAAGACAAGAATATGACAGAAGAGTAAGTGTGTATTTGGAAATATTAGGATTAATAAGCTGTTTCTATTTGGGCTTGGGTGTTTTAATTGTTTGACCACTAGGTGTCACCGTATGTTAAATATTTAGTTAAACTCTGACTACTTGCTTGGTTTGACTGATGATAAATCCTCCCCACAGAGAGAAGCTGGAGATCAACAGATCGTTTGTCAATGAGGTGGTGCAGTATATCAAACGGGTAAGCGAGCAGCGATAGAGCTGTGGCGTTACAGAGCACTTAGAGCACTGAAAAATGGTGCTCTTTTTGCAAATTTGAGAAGATTTGCCTGTAATTTGCATCTACTTTATGACAAATTCACTTTATGATATAATTACCTTATACTGTGTGTGTGTGTGTGTGTGTGTGTGTGTGTGTGTGTGTGTGTGTGTGTGTGTGTGTGTGTGTGTGTGT